TTTCACCTCTTTTTTCACCTTACATATAGTCCTTTATTAAAAAAAAACACAATTGTTAAAGCGGAGCTCCACCCAAAAGGGGAAGTTCCGCTTTAAGCCTGTCCCCCGCTCCCTGTTATGGATAGGCACCTTTGGGGAGTGGGGAGGGAACACGTACTGGAATTTGACAGGTACCCACTCACACTTCTGTTGTGATCGCCTAGGTGATCGGAAGCGGAAGTTGTCCTCCCCCCTCCCCGTAGTCTTCTGGGACACGTGACAGGTCCCAGAAGACTACGGGGCCATTCACAAAGCACAGCGCTTCTCGCACATGTGCAGTGGGCACCCGGCTGTGAAGCCGCAAGCTGTCACAGCCGGGTGCCCACACTGAAAATGCTGGTGCCAGGGAGAGAAGACGGCCGGTGAAACCAGCGGTGGTAGGGACAGGTAAGTGTCTGTATTTTAAAAGTCAGCAGCTGCAGTTTTTGTAGCTGCAGACTTAATTTTATTTTTCTTCCAGGTGGAACTCCGCTTTAAAGTGGTAGCAAAGGCAGTTTTGCAACTTTAAAGCTTAATTGTGGGTAAAATGAATATCTCCTAAATATGCGCAGTTTTCCACATCCACGGTTTGCAGCTGATGACATCACTGGCGCCTGTGTATCATGCTCTGAAGGGACAGGCCCTCAGAGTGCTGTGCCATGATCGTGGCTTCCGTGCGCATGCACGGGAGTGACGTCATTGCAGTTCGGCCATTTAAAATGAGCAGAGCCTGCAAACCCAGAAGGAAGACCAAGCGAAGCCCCATCAGTGGTGACAGCATGCTACTGGAGGGCTTTGTTTTATGTTTAGTCTTTTATAATGTGCTAATATGCAAGGCATACCAGCACATTATGCCATTGCCTTGCAGGGGGCTGGATTTTTTTTTATTTTTTTTTTTAACAGTATAAAACCTCAAAACAAATGTACTATATTATACTGTAGCTCACCAGAATGTGATGGCTGCATTAGTTTTCTGTTTCAGTTTTTTCTATTTTCACTTGCTGATCCAGCCAGTTAACACACTTCCTTTCCTAGGGTGACTCCACTCTAGGTGGAGGAGCAATGGAGATGCCTTTGGACATCAGCATTGTCAATATGGGAAGAGGATAGTGTTACATGCGCTAGTAGATTTAGATGAACTTTAACAATATTACAGTGGAATAAAAGTCTAAAACTATTTCTCTTAAAAACATTCCTTCTACCTCCTCCTACCTTCCGTGTGTAAAAAAAAAAAAAAAAAAAAAATTGTACATGCTTTTTAATCTGCTCTAGTTCAGTCACATGATCCAGCAGCTTCAAATCCACTGCGTCACCGAGTAGCTACTGAAAGGTAGAAGAGGGAGCAGAGGGCACCAACAATGGACCAAAAAAACCTATGGATGACGTTACAGCTCCCAGAATTTAAAGCCCTTGTTAAGTGCCCCCATACACAATGGAGCTGTCGAATGATGTGGCCAGACTGGACCAAATTAAAAGAGGTACCACTTTAACTATCAAACATGTTATCCTACATAAACCCTTTATCCATCCTGTATAAATGGATGTTATGATTTGTGTAATGTAATGGTCCATGTAACTGGGGGTTTGGCATGGGGTGTACCCATTGCCTGCCTACTTTGTTAAAAGTATCCTTCTCTTATCTGAGAGTTGGCTGGTACGTTCGCATTTCTCAAGAGAGGAGAGGGAGGCTACTTCGTAGTAAGCACTGCTAAAACTAGCTCAACTCTGGGCTGGAATACTTTCACAGGTTTAAAGACAACAAATATTTACAATCAAGTAGATTCTTTACCACAACAATGTTCCTGCACTGAAACTTAACCAGCCACCCTATTCCTCTGACTTCGCACCCTGCAACTTTTGGCGGTTTCCAAATATAAAACAAATCCCTTAAAATGTACAGATTTGTTGACATTCTGGACATCCAGCATGCCTCAACAAAGATACAGCACAGCATCGAAGAAAACAAATTAACTCTGCCTTCTATTTTTTGGTGATTCAGTTCTTTTTGCAACCTGCTTGCTCCCTGTTGGACTATCATAGCACAAAGATACCTTATACGATTTAGAAAGACCAGTTCAGATATGAATCACTCTCTCGATTTTTAAAGAGGAGGTACACTCTAGGGGGGAAATTAAAAAAGTCAGGTGCAACAAATCCTGTAGCTGCTGACTTAATAAAAAGGACACTTACCTGTCCAGTGATCCAGCGCCTTCCTCATCTAGGCTAGTTCTTAACTAACCTTCGGGTTCGCGGCGCCAGCATCCTAACTGTGGGCAGCTTCACAGCTGGATGTCCACTGTGCATGCTTGAGCAGTGCTTTGTGTATGGACCCTCAGTCTAAAGACCGGTGACGTGTTCCAGGAGCCTGCGGGGAAGAAGGGGCTACCCACTCTCCCCCCCCCCCAAAAAAAAAAAAAAACCAACCCAAAAGGGGAGGTTCTACTTTAAGTCATCCCCTGCCAGATTTGGCGTAAATTCTGCTTTAATCTCACTTGCTCCTGTATTATGGACACTCTTAGATTAACAATTTAAAATTATGTATTGAGCCCATCTCAAAACCTTTTAGCACAAAGCCCGTAAAAGAGAGAACTGTACACAATACTTAAAACTAAGCACATTTCACCAAACCTCTTCATTCTTTAAAAGCAGGAAAAGATTTGGGGAAACAAGCATGTACCTTTAAAAGTGGCTTGAGCTGTCACTTTTCACGCGTTGTTTTGAACGTTTGCAGCTCAATTCACTGTAAATAGGAGGGGGAATATAAAAAATAGCCCCACATACAAAAGTGCTCTGTAAAAGCAGTTACCGTTTTATTGTATGAGCTCTTTACACAAGCTGTAACTGCTTTCACAAATTGCATTTAACAGCATACTGTTGAAGCAAGAAATTATTTTCAAATGTGCAACCCAGTGAAATAATTTTTTTATATTGTTGCTGCGGATTAATGCTTTTATAATAGATACCGGGGGAACGTGAGCAGACTCCACATTCAAGAGTTCCTTGAAGTAATCTGCAAAGCTATTATTTCCTAAACAGCGGTATAGTGAGCCACGTTGCCTCGCGAATCTTGCAAAACTGCTCTGTTTCAGAAATATTTGTTTTATATTGTGCATTGTGAATGCATATGCGAGATCATGGTGTGATATGAGAGGACTCAAATTTATAAGCTTACAGGGAGTTTAAATGTCACATTCAACAACAAAGGTTATAAGACTTTCTTGAATTGTGCTGCGGATAATGCACTTTAAGGGCTCTTCACAGTTTGCTTCTAGAATTCATTTTCGGTTTGACAGAGTATTTGTTTTGTAGAGCTGCTTTTACAGAACAAAAAAAAACAAAAAAAAAAAAGTTTCCTTACAATAATCCTATGAAATTTCCTAACACAAGACCCTGTTGAACAGACACTTTTCTATGCAAGTAAGATCCAAAGATAATAACCCCACAATAATGCATATTATTTTATTTACCATGAAATACTGCTTTGCATTAAATACATTTTTTCTCTCCATGTCCAGAAAATGAAGGTAGCGGGGTCTGAGAATTTACAGATGCAGCTAAAATTATTAACACCCAAAGAACCCCAATTTGTTGCGAGTACAAGCTGAAAGTGACCCAAGTAGATGACGTCTGCTAATTATTCTATGGTCCACAAAGCAGAAACGTTGCTGTGACAATTATTGGTATCCCTAAGCAAATATTTCATAATGCTCACTTTAATAACTGAGATCAAGTGCCTGCTGAAGCTCTGAATAAGATTTCCACACTTAACTAGCAAGTTGCCCCATTTGTAAGCAAACTGCTCCAGCTGCCTAAGGTTTGATGGGTTTCTTCTTCCAACGGAGTTGCAGCTCTTTCCATAAAATGTTGAATTGTATTAGATCAGGATCAAAGCAGGCCACTTCAAAACAGCCCAATGTTTGCTCTTCAACCATTCATAGGCTCCTTTGCACTTGCCGTAGTCCTCTAAAAAGTAATCCATAGGGCATTACTTTTCAGAGGATACTTCACAGGCAGCAATGCAGAGGTTTTGCCATACCACCATACAAAAGCATTGAGCCTCCATCATATGGCTGCCTTCGCAGGTTAGGGGGGCAATGAAAAGCGTCTCAAGGGCCTGTTTTTACTGCCCACCAAGAGCAAGTGTGAACAGTGTGCGTGTATATATATATATATATATATATATATATATATATATATATATATATATACACATATATATATATATACACATATATATATATACACACACATTATATATACACACACACACACACACACACACACACACACCAGTATTCAGCTATAAGACCCATGACATGCAATGGAGACAGGCATTCTGTTTCATGCAAGAATGCCTTTATAGCCTTATGATTTTTATCATAACCTGCAGCATCTGGCGCCTAAGGCAGCAAAACAACTCCAAAATATTATGGTGCCACCTCTATCAGTAGAGATGTGTTCCTTTTTTAAATCTGTTTCTGTGACCTACCAAAATGCTCCAATGTTGCGTCATCTATTCAAAAGACCATTCTCTCAGAAGAACTGTGGTTATCGCCATAGATTTTAGCAAACTCCAGTCTGGATTTTTGGGGGACTGTTCTACAAAAGATGCCATGACTTGATACTTGTACTTCGACCGTGGCAGTCAGCAAGAATCAGTTTTGAAGTTTATTAATTTTCTCTCCAACATTCAGACTTCTGTTAAAGTTGGGGTCAGTTTTCTCTCGAAGCCACATCCAAGGGGGTTCTCTACAGTCCTTAAACATCTTGACTAGAGATGAGCGAAGTATTCAAAAATTCGATTCGACCGATTCGGCGAATTCGTGGAAAAACTTCAATTCGAGTCGAATATATTCGCTGCGAATTTAACTCATAAAAGGGTGTTTCTAGGCTTCAAAGAGCCTTTATATTAGTGCAGAACACTGTACCTTTAATTTAAATGCCCTTGGAGTCTGCTGGGGAAGAGAAATAATACTGACAGTCAGTATGACATGCAGATGAGTGCCGTCGATCTTAGAATCACCGCACACTTCACTCATTTGGGCAGTCACGGGGCCAAAACCAGAGTGTGGAGCCACAGTGTGGCGGTGGAGGCAGCAGCAATGGGAGGCCATACAGCACCCTATGACAAAAATGGAAACCACCAGCAGTGTGAGGAGACCTAAAAGTGACACATGGCAGAGTGTGGCGATGGAGACAGCAGCAATGGGAGGCCGTACAGGGACCCATGACACACTCTGGACCTGGCAGCAGCATGAGGAGGCGGTACAGGGGCCCATGACAGATTACGGGCCTGGCAGCAGCATGAGGAGTCGGTACGGGGGCACATGACACACTCTGGACCTGGCAGCAGCATGAGGAGGCGGTACAGGGGCGCATGACAGATTACGAGCCTGGCAGCAGCAACTTGGACAGGAGGACGTTCAGCTTCTGCACCGTCGGGTGCGTGCTCGCAAACTGTTGTCTCTTGGAAACGGATTCCAAGAAAGACTGCTGACGGAATCCGTGAAGGGGTAGCAGGAGAAGGAGCATCTGAACGAGCGGAATATGCCAACAAGCGACAACAGGGGCCCATGACAGATTACGGGCCTGGCAGCAGCATGAGGAGTCGGTACGGGGGCCCATGGCAGATTAGGGGCCTGGCAGCAGCTATGGGAGGCCCCTAATCTGCCAGCACCCTATGACAAAAAATGGAACACACCAGCAGTGTGAGGAGACCTGAAAGTGGCACATGGCAGAGTGTGGCGATGGAGACAGCAGCAATGGGAGGCCGTACAGGGACCCATGAGAGACTCTGGACTTGGCAGCAGCATGAGGAGGTGGTATAGGGGCCCATGGCAGATTAGGGGCCTGGCAGCAGCTATAGGAGGCCCGTAATCTGCCAGCACCCTATGACAAAAAATGGAACACACCAGCAGTGTGAGGAGACCTGAAAGTGGCACATGGCATGAGACACTGTGGACCTGGCAGCAGCATGAGGAGGCGGTACAGGGGCCCATGGCAGATTAGGGGCCTGGCAGCAGCTATGGGAGGCCCGTAATCTGCCAGCACCCTATGTCAAAAAATGGAACACACCAGCAGTGTGTGAGGAGACCTGAAAGTGGCACATGGCAGAGTGTGGCGATGGAGACAGCAGCAATGGGAGGCCGTACAGGGACCCATGAGAGACTCTGGACTTGGCAGCAGCATGAGGAGGTGGTATAGGGGCCCATGGCAGATTAGGGGCCTGGCAGCAGCTATGGGAGGCCCGTAATCTGCCAGCACCCTATGTCAAAAAATTGAACACACCAGCAGTGTGTGAGGAGACCTGAAAGTGGCACATGGCAGAGTGTGGCGATGGAGACAGCAGCAATGGGAGGCCGTACAGGGACCCATGAGAGACTCTGGACCTGGCAGCAGCATGAGGAGGCGGTACAGGGGCCCATGGCAGATTACGGGCCTGGCAGCAGCTATGGGAGGCCCGTAATCTGCCAGCACCCTATGACAAAAAATTGAACACACCAGCAGTGTGAGGAGACCTGAAAGTGGCACATGGCAGAGTGTGGCGATGGAGACAGCAGCAATGGGAGGCCGTACAGGGACCCATGAGACACTCTGGACCTGGCAGCAGCATGAGGAGGCGGTACAGGGGCCCATGGCAGATTAGGGGCCTGGCAGCAGCTATGGGAGGCCCGTAATCTGCCAGCACCCTATGACAAAAAATGGAACACACCAGCAGTGTGTGAGGAGACCTGAAAGTGGCACATGGCAGAGTGTGGCGATGGAGACAACCCACCGACTGTTTTGCTCGCTGCCAAGCTGCCACCCTCTTCTCCTGATGATGCGGAAGCAATAGCCTGATGACGACGAGGCTGCCAAGTGCGATCAGCCTCATCATCATCAATTAGGGTCTCCGCCTCACTACTAGCCCCCTCGGCTGCGTGTGGGTCAGGAGACAGACCTGTCTCTAGACCGGCTACCGAGCCACTCTCCTCGCCACTACTTCTTCGCCTGGCTGCTGAAGAGGCGGATGTCTCCCCCGTTCCTGACCGCCCTCTGTTAGCTCTTCCTCACTGTACTGGATGACACCGGGAGCACTGGCCTCTGGCTGCGAATAGTGCTGCCTCGACCCCTTCCTCTGCTGCCACGTCTGCTCGCTCCTAAAACATTGCCTCCTCTGCCACTCCTCTGCATGTTGTTTGACATACTCTTTAATTAAACGAGTTTGTGTCCCTGAGTGACAATTCTGTGTCTGTCCCTGAGTAACGTTTGTGTGTCCCTCAGTGACACTTCTGTGTCCGTCCCTGAGTACACTTTGTGTCCGTCCCTCAGTGACACTTCTGTGTCCGTCCCTCAGTGACACTTCTGTGTCCGTCCCTCAGTGACACTTCTCTGTGTCCGTCCCTCAGTGACACTTCTGTGTCCGTCCCTCAGTGACACTTCTGTGTCCGTCCCTCAGTGACACTTCTGTGTCCGTCCCTCAGTGACACTTCTGTGTCCGTCCCTCAGTGACACTTCTGTGTCCGTCCCTCAGTGACACTTCTGTGTCCGTCCCTCAGTGACACTTCTGCGTCCGTCCCCAGTGACAGTGACACTTCTGTGTCCGTCCCTCAGTGACACTTCTGCGTCCCTCAGTGACACTTCTGTCCGTCCCTCAGTGACACTTCTGCGTCCCTCAGTGACACTTCTGCGTCCCTCAGTGACACTTCTGCGTCCCTCAGTGACACTTCTGCGTCCCTCAGTGACACTTCTGCGTCCCTCAGTGACACTTCTGCGTCCCTCAGTGACACTTCTCAGTGACACTTCTGCGTCCCTCAGTGACACTTCTGCGTCCCTCAGTGACACTTCTGCGTCCCTCAGTGACACTTCTGCGTCCCTCAGTGACACTTCTGCGTCCCTCAGTGACACTTCTGCGTCCCTCAGTGACACTTCTGCGTCCCTCAGTGACACTTCTGCGTCCCTCAGTGACACTTCTGCGTCCCTCAGTGACACCTCTGTGTCCCTCAGTGACACCTCTGTGTCCCTCAGTGACACCTCTGTGTCCCTCAGTGACACCTCTGTGTCCCTCAGTGACACTTCTGTGTCCCTCAGTGACACTTCTGTGTCCCTCAGTGACACTTCTGTGTCCCTCAATAACAATTCTGTGTCCCTCAATAACAATTCTGTGTCCCTCAATAACAATTCTGTGTCCCTCAATAACAATTCTGTGTCTGTCCCTAAGTAACAAGTTTATGTTTATGCTGTCTGGGCATCACATAAGCAATTAGTCTGTAATTCAGGAGGCTTTAGTTGTACTTGAAAGTACGGTTTATGTATTTTCCATTAAAGAACTTTATAAAAGTATTGATCTGTGTCGGAAAAATATCAAGCCATTAGACAGAGTATTGGGGTCCAAAAACCACTTGCAAAAATCTGGACACATTCCTTACTGCATCATCATGTGTCCCTAGCATGCATCAACAGTGCACCAAGCATTGGTTCAGCATTTAGGCTCCAGTCGCATGATCCTTGAACTCCAGCTCTCCTGTGCCAGTGAGCAGCTGCTGCAGTGGAAAGGAAGGAACACTGACAATGGCTGGGCTATGGGAGCCTATGGGTTATGTCGTTGCTCCAGGAATTTACAGCCGTTAAACAGAAGAGCTGGAGCTGCAGGATCATGTGACTAATCCAGATTAAAAAAGGCAAGTATACAGACAATTCTATACGGAGCATGCAGGATGGGTAGGAGGAGGGAATGTTTTTAAGAATCAGTGTATACTACCACTTTAATGAGCACCTGCCACAAGTGGGCATTTGTAATGATCTGAATCTCTACATGTTAAATAGTAGAATACTGAAATGTTAATCTCTCACCGTCAGATCAAAGTGTCAGTCTGAGTGTCTGGCTGCAAGTCTTGCCTATATGCTGCCTAAACTGCTTAACACACACCCAGATATACTCATAACGAAGTTATTGTCAGGATTAAATTAACCCAGGGAAAAGCCTTGGTTAACTACAGTTTCAGGGACCCAAAATGAGTTAGAGCTTATAGTTCTGCTTGGACATGGAGAGAATACAAATAAATGAAAGGAAACCCATATCCCTGATGGGTTATGCTACACTACTGAAGTACAGCAAAGATTCAAATTTTACAATACCCATTCCTGAATAGTCCCCACAAGTTGCCCCTCATTTTTATGTCATTACATGTAAGTTTATTTTTCAGCAACTTCCATTACAATGTTAAGAGGTGCTCTTATGTAAAATGAAAGCTCCATTTAGAAGGAGGCACACACTGTAAGAGGAACTATCAAGAGATCAAACAGAATACATTAGCATGACAAGCACAAAACAGTCACCTAGTGTCATTGATTATCTGTAAATTACACAACAGTCATTTACTATGGCACACGGTTATCCAAAGTACTGATCTTCATTTAAATTACCTTTCCAACTGCTTGTTGCCATCAAATGTAATTTATTTTTCCAAGTGTTTATAGGGCATAGAAGCTTTCAAATATGAAAAACAATGGCTGCGGAGGCAGAAAAATAAATATCTAGTATTTTTTTTTTAAGATATATCATTATCCTATCCGGAACACTGTTGTATCATTCATGGTACAGTTATACAAGATGCAAAATGATGCTTATCTATTCAGATACAAGGCTAAACTTGCAATCTTTATATCCCAAAGCTTATTTTTAGAACTGAAGAACCTAGAAAATACTTAACTTCGGACTGATTGACACTGTTATATCATTTTACCTACCTTTAAAATTAAGTAACCTATTTACTGACTTGTACCTAGTATCTGGTTTATATCTTCTGCCCGAGGACTGTCCTGTTTTCAAACCTCACCAGGTATGTGCATACACTGTCACCAACGAAGATATCTGGATGGCTGCACTCCTTGGACCTTCCAAAAATCATCTTTACCAGTACTGAATTAGTTAGAAACACGTTACCATCCCCTGTTCTCTCCCCATATGTGGTCTTTGGCTGTTTTAATTATACATCTTGTTAATAAAGATGGTTTTTGGAAGATCCTAGGAGGGCAGCCATCTACAAATCGTCTTATGGTGTATGAAGTTGTGAGCTGGGCTAACACCTATCCAGGATTGCGATTAGAGGTTGCAGTTCTCAAGCTTACCTAGGGCAGCAGCAGTCTGCATTTGCTCGCCAGTTATCTACCTAACATCTCCTGACCACCTTCCTCCCCTACTGACCCCCCTTGTATATGTATAATTTGTCAAAATGCTAATTAAACCAAACTAGCTGTACCCCTTGACAGAATCCTGCCTGGGATTTGGCTTATGCTTTATGCTTGACATACTGTGCAGGTAGGCTGATCCCAGTCTGGCATTAGGTTAATCTATTAGGATAATCTATAACCTATACACAGGTTTGAGCAACAGAGCAGATTTTGTACATGTCATCTTTAAAACACAGATGGATTAATCACTGAGCAATATAGGTGACCTATATTTCCCTTGTGCTCCTATGTGATGACCATGAAACATGCGTAGTAGGAGGGGTTGAAGGACAAGTTTGGGAACTTCCACCTTAGTTTTATGGACCTCTGTAAACTACTGTTAGTTTGGGGACATGGTCCAATGTAAACAAAATTTAAGGGTCCTCTGTACAGTGACGATTCCCCACAAAGGGGGTCTATTGTGAATTTGTGCCAAAAAGTTATGAATTTCTAAAAAGAGCAATGGAATACAGAAGATCTTTTAAGTATTTTATAAGCTGTGATTGGTTATATTTGGAAAAAAATGTTTAGAAAATTCAAATGTTATAGTATACCAATATACCATATAGGAGCCCATTTAGCTTTGTAGTTCACATCATGTGCAGTATACAATCATAGCAGAAAGAAAATTTAATCCTGCAGATGTACATATTTCCTGAAGATACAAAGTGTGATCAGGTAACTATAGGGTGTTTCCTAAAGACTAGATTTGGACAACACCCAAACTGCATCTACAGGAAATGCTGTAGGATTATGAGCTCTCCTGCATAGTTAAGCATATGTTCTCTCTATGTAAGCATTCTGAATTGTAGAAGGATCCAGAGTATGTTCGTAGTTGATGACCTCAGTTCAAAACAACTGACTCCTCTCCATACAATGTTGTACACACGCTATAAACTGTGGTATTGGAAGTCTAAAAAGAAAGAGTGAGGAGTTTAAAAGTAAATAGTTTTCAAAAAACAGGAATTGGTACTGCAAGCTATGGTTTGGCACGTATTCCTTGGGGAAAAAAAAAAAAAAAAAATTAGGTATCCAAAACAGGGCTCTTACTTTAGAATAATAAGTATAAAGATATTTTGCAGGGATTCTAAAAGATTGAAATCCACAGCACGCTAAATTGCCTGTGATTATTTTTACCCAACTCTACATTCATTTTACAATTTCCAAACAGCTCAAGGTTTGAAGGGTCAATTAAGGACAACCTTCCAATTCACCGAGAGGGAAGGAAAGATTACCTCGGAACAAGTGTGCACAAAAACAAAACATGCCCTGAAATGCTCTTTTCACATAGAGAGGGAAAGCGCGGCAATAACTCTCAA